CGACGCCCAGACGCGGCCCGGCCGGGAGCGTCAGTGGCCGCCGCAGCACTGAAGTCGCGCAGCCGCACGCGCGCGCAGCTTCCGGGGGACGCGACGCGCGTCAGGCCCGGCGCTGGGCGGGAACTGAGGCCCACGGCGGCGCCGGAGCCAAGCGTGTCCAAATAGCGGCGGCCCGGCGGGCTCGGGCTGTCCTCCGCACTGCCTGATCGTCTGCGCCGTCCGCGCCCCCTCCTCTCGGGCCCCGCTCCCCGCACCCCCCAGCGCCCCCCTCGCTTGGCCTGCCGGGTCTCTGCAGGCGCTCCTCGCCCTCCGCTTCCACCCCCTGGTGGCCTCTTTCTGCCCTCTGAACAGGCAGATAGCTGGACGGTCCCCGAGACCCGGCACCCGGGGATTCGAAGGCCCCTGCCCGCTGCTCTCGTTTTTCCCCGCCTGCTCCCACCGGGTCTTGCCCGCTCGACCGCGACCATGTTCGTCCCGTGCGGGGAGTCGGTGCCCGACCTCACTGGCTTCACCCTTCTGATGGTGAGTCTCCACCTGCGCTGGGTCTGCTGCCTCCCCAGAGGCCTCTTGGAGTCGCCTCGCCGACCCAGGTGTTTCGCGGGGCCTGGGGAGGGATGGGGCACTTGCTTCTGTTTCAGGTTCTCAGTTCGACAAATAGGAGGGGGTGGGTGGCGGTCCTGATGGAGCCTTGGCCAGGCCTCAGCTGAACGTGCTTGTCTGCAAATTGTCATCCTTGCTGCCTGCAAAACAATGTGCTCGTGCATTCCAGATACACCGAATGTATGTTGTTGTTTTAGAGTCTGTTTTAAGCTAGCACGTTATTGTCATTCGCCAGAGAGCTGCTGATAGGGTGGTGATACACATGACTTTTGCCAGTAGCTAACACACAGTCTTATCACTCTTATGTGTGGTCATATTCATTCGTTGTTTCAATAACCATCCCATGACGTGCGAATTTTAGAATAAGACCAATGAATCTACAGTCTAGTCGGAAACTCCTGTAAGTCAATATGATCAATAAACGCTAGGATAAAAATTTGAAAAGGTTACTGCTAGGTTCTGCCATAAGGGACAGAAAGGCCTGTTAAGGAAAGCTTCAGAGAGAAATTAATGTCTAAAAGATGGTGGAGGATAGGGGAAAGTAAGGCATTTGAGAAAGATGGGTGTTTGAAACAGAGGCACATAAGCATGGGGGACCTGGGGCCTGCAAAGAGTTTGAAATGACACATTGGGAGAGAATTGGCTGGTGGCCTTGTGAACCCAAAAGGCACCAATGGAGAATGCACTGTTTGGAGTGGTGTAAAACTGGAAAGACATGCAACCATCATTCTCTTATTTACTAAACATCAAACACATAAATCCAAAGGAAGAGTGTTTCAAGGAGGAAGTGGCCGTCTGTCAAAAGTAGCCAAGAGGTTTGTAAGGTGAAGAAAATGTCCCCATTTGGATTTAGCTACATGTAGGTGAGTGTGGTCACCTGGGCAATGACCACTGGAGTGATGAAGAGGAAGCCATATTGAAGTGGGTTGAGTAAATAGTAGAAGAGGAGGTAGAGGTATGTGTATGTATATATTCAACATTAATTCAGAGATGAAGTTCCTGCTTGTGTTTTAATGGACAACTCTTGAAGAATTTTGACACTGTAGAGACATGAGAGATGTGATAGCTAGAGAGCTATTTGAAGTCAAGGTTGTTTTTTTTTTTTTATTTTTTAGAATGAAAGATAGTAGAGCATATTGACTTGATGGGAATAATCCAATGGTGTGGAAAAGAGGGAGAATGCAGAAGAGGTTAACCCAAGTAGTGAATCACTGAGAAGGGAATTACAGGAGGCAACTAAGGAGTTGGTAGATGACAGAAATGGGAGAACACTGAGGGAACACACTGAAGCCTAAAAAGAGCAGTTACTGGAAGAATGCAGAGGAGGAGGTACATTAAAGAGACTCTTGAGAACTAGAATCAATAACAACTAGTCCTGAATTAGATGTAGTTGGTAAGGGAAAGGGAAGTTTGTCAGTTTAAGTGATTGGGTGAATATTGTTGCTCTTTCCTGAAGTGCAAAATGCGAGAACACGTTTGGGCAAAAGTTTATAATTGTGTACATGCTGATTGTGAGTTGCCTGTGACCTAACCGTGTGGGAATATCCATTAGGTTCTGGAGCTCAGGCACATCTCCTGGGTTATTGTTTGCGATTTGGCAGTCTGGCTATTTAAAGTCATGGGAGTAAGTGCCTGGGTCTTCTTTCCATTTGCTTTGTCAGTGCCTCTTTCTCTACCCATTCCCAAAGATTGCTGTGTCCGTGATCAGTGTGAAAATAAAGTCACAGCAACCTTTGTGAATGGGTCGAGAAAGAGTCACTGACAAAGCAAATGGAAAGAAGACCCAGGCATGCTTCTGTCTACACCTCACAACCTTTATACTTGCTTGCTTTCTCGTTGCTTGGAATGTCTTTTTCCCAGATCTCTATGTGGCTCACTCCTTCACTTTTTTCAGGTCTGTAGTCACCTGAAGTGAGTCTTTCCGTGATCAACCTATTTAAAGTTGCAACTAGTCACATACATACTCACTTTATTTTTCTCCATAACACTTACCACTGTATATTTTGCTGTTTATTTTATTTATTATAGGTAAAGTACTCTTTCATTAGAATGGAAGTTCCACAAGGACAGGAACTTTTGTTGGTTTATTTTACTATATTCCCAGTGCCTAGAGCAATGACTGATACCTAGTATGTGTAAATATTTGTTAAATCAGTGGTCTCAAAGGTGGAGGAAATGCCAGCTGACGTCTGTTACAGCTAATGACAGTCAATATCTAGCTATGATGCTCCTGAAATAAGCATTCAGTTTACTACGATGAACTTGTAAAAGTACTGCTAATTTTGGTGACTCATTGAACCGTCTTTTATGATTTCAGCCAGCAGTATCTGTTGGAAATGTTGGCCAACTTGCAATAGATCTGATTATTTCTACGCTAAACATGTCTAAGATTGGATACTTCTATACCGATTGTCTTGTGCCAATGGTTGGAAACAATCCATATGCGACTGGAGAAGAAAATTCAACAGAACTTAGTATAAATGCTGAAGGTATGTAAGACTTCAGCATGTTTGGTTCTGCTACAAGGTACAGTTGTTTTAAATTAGAAATAGAAGCTGGGCTCGGTGGCTCAGCCTGTAATCCCATGTCTTTGGGAGGCTGAGGTGAGTGGATTGCCTGAGCCCGTGGGTTCAAGACCCACCTGGGCAACTTGGCGAGACCTCATCTCTACAATAAATCAAAAATCAGCTGGGCATGGTAGCACGCGCCTGAAGTTCCAGCTACTTGGAAGGCTGAGGCAGAAGGATCGCTGGAACCCAGCAAGTCGAGGCTGCAGTGGCCGGGAGCGGCCACTGCACTCCAGTCTGGGCGACAGAGTGAGACTCCAACTCAAAAAAAAAAAAAAATTAGAAATAGATTCTATGGGCCAGGTACAGTGGCTCATGCCTGTAATCCCAGCACTTTGAGAGGCTGAGGCAAGAGAGTTGCTTGAGCCCAGGAGTTTGAGACCTTGTCTCTGTGAAAAAAAATTAGCCAGGTATGATAGTGTGCACCTGTAGTCCTAGCTACTTGGGAGGCTGAGGCAGAAGGATCACCTGAGTCCGGGTTGTCGAGGCTGCAGGGAGCAAAAATATTTTTATAATAGGCATTTCTGTGAACTTTTTGAAGATCCTTTGTACTTCTGATTATATTTTGCCCTTGGGATATACTATATTCTAGAGCAGACTCTTCTTTTCCCTTCATTACACAACTGATTAACTGAAGAAAAGACTGGACCTGTTGTCCTTTAGAGTATCCCATCTTCTACATTAATCTGATTACTTCTTGTGTCATTTGGCTTGTTCCTCTAGTCCCTGTATTTTCTGTGACTGGAATTAGGTTTAAAGGCTTGATTAGATAAAAAAGGTAAATGTTTTGGGGCAAAATACATAAACGATGATGTTGCTTTCATACTGTATCACATCAGAAGAAGAAGGCACTAGGAAATAGGAACCTAACACCAAAAAAGACTTGCATGACATACTGATGGAGAATATCGCTATTATTGAAGACGGTATATATCATTTTAGAGCCTAGCCTGCCCATCCTCTATGTTCTTTTCACACCTAGGTCTGTTGAATGGGACTAGATATGTATGTCAGAGATAGGTTGGAGGCCTGAGTATCCTTTGCCCCTTTTCCCTAAATTGATACCCTTTTCCCTAATTCCTAAACTTCCTTTGGCTCGAATATACCTGGTACTCACTAGACTTCCTAAATTCAGCATAGCCAATCGTGTCATATCACAGCAACCACAGGAGACAATCTCAGAAAGACCTATAACAGTAAACTGATCCACCAAAGGATTTGCCCAGTCTGGGGTTATTTGTAATCTGCATATAGTAATCAAAAGCTTACCCCCAGCACAATAACCTAATCCTGTGTCTTCAGAGGCTATTTTGTCCTTGGTTCATATAAGAACTTCTCATTCTTAGAGCTAAAGTTGGGCAGAGGAGCCTTAAGCATATCTAGAGTGGGCCCCCTGTAGAATCTAATGAAAACTCTGGATCCTTTTTCCAGGACAAATAATGCACATGAGTTGACTCACAGGGGATTTTACTTGTTTCATATCTTTCAAAAAGTCCTAAAGAGCACAAACATACCTATTTCAGGGATTCTATTACATAGCTAATATTCTCTTTCATTTTACTATTTTTTTTTGTTAATCCCAGTGAGTGTTACTGTTCTCTGGAGAGAAGAGGGGAGAATATCAGAAACCAAAAAGTTCAGCTTTTTTTTTTTTTTTTTGAGTTAAAGTCTTACTCTGTCCCCCATCTGGAGGTCCGTGGCACACTCACAGCCATCCCAGCGTCGACCTGCTGGGCTCCCGCAATCCTTCTGCCTCAACCTTCCAAGGACCCAGAACTGCAAGCGTGCACTACCACGCCTGGCTAATTTTTGATTTATTGTAGAAACAAGGTCTCACCAAGTTGCCCTGGCTGGTTTCAAAGTGCTGGGATTACAGGCTGAACCACCAAGCGCCACCAAGTTCAGCTTTCTTAAGGATGATTTTATTTGACATAATACCTGAAATATCCAGGAAAATGCTTCTCTGGTTTTACAATTATTGTCAGAAGAAAAATAACTTTTGATATTTTCTTACAGTTAACTTTTCAGAAATGAACCTATTCCATAAAATAAAACCCACTGGCGCAATTTAAGTTACTTCTAAAATGTTTGACTATAACCAAATGATATATGTGTTCTGTATTTGTATTATTGAAAATATTTAGATACAAAAAATGTAATTACATTTCAAATTTATCATGTTAATAATTCTTTTTTTTTTTTAAGATTCATTTTTTGTTTTAGAGTTGAGGCGTCACGCTGTTACCTGAACTGGAGGGCAGTGGCATGATCGTGGCTTACCGTAGCCTCAGACTCTTGGGCTTGAGTGATCCTCACTCTCCAGCCTCTCAAATAGCATGCGCCACCACATCTGACTAATTTTTTGACTTTTTATGGAGGTTAGGTCTCATTGTGTTACCTAACCTGATCTCGAACCCTGGGATCAAGCCATCCTCCCACCTCAGCTTCCTACAATGTTGGGATTACAGGCGTGAGCCACTGTGCCCGGCCAACCTGTTTATTTCAACTACTGTATGATTTCATTTTCTTCTTGTCTTTGTAGTGTACTCGTTGCCTTCAAGAAGGCTAGTGGCTCTTCAGTTAAGATCCATTTTCATTAAGGTTAGTATATAGTATTTGCCCATTTAAGTTTATTAAAGTAAGGTATAATGAGAAAATACCAAGTCAGTATCATTAAGAATTAAGATTCAAAAATCATTTCGACTATTTTTATTGTATATTCAGTTAAGAAGATCATATTCTGTAGAGAAATAATTTCATAATATTTTAGATGTGTTACCACCATTTCATGGTTGTATGGCTTCGGTCTTATGTATCCTTGATTCATGTAGCATTGGTGAAGAAATTTAAGCATATGAATCTTGTAGGTTTAGTCCATTTGTATTACATTTCAGCCAGTGACACCTACATGTAAATTATGTATATATCAAATATAATATATTCTGAATCTAATCTCTTTCCTCCTCCATTGCCCCCACTTAGTCCAAACCACCATCTCTCATGCCCTTGATTACTCTTTTGCCCCATTTACCTCTCACAAACAATTAAATATCTTTTCAAACAGCAGCACCAATGATTCTTTAAACCTAAGTCAAATCACATCACTACTCTCTTTGAAACCCTCCAGTGGCTTCCTTTCTCACTCAAAGTGAACTCACAATCCTTACCACAGCCTATGAAGTACCACATCTGTGCTGTCTGATGCAGTAGACACAAACCACATGTTGTTATTTAAATTTTAATCCATTGATTCAAACTAAATTAAATTAAAAATTCATTCAGGCACAGTGGTTCACACCTGTAATCCCAGAACTTTGGGAGGGCAAGGCAGGAGGCCAGGAGACCATCCTGGGCAATAAAGCAAGATCCTGTCTCTACCAAAAAAATAATTAAATTTTTTAAAATCAAAGATTCAGTTCCTCAGTCACACCAGCCATGTTTCAAGTTCTCAGTAGCCACACACAGCAAATGGTGAGAGCTCATGTTCACAGAGAGTTCTGCTGGACAGTTGCTCTACCTAATCTAACCTTAGCCACGCTGGCCTCCCTCACTCCTGTCTCAGTCTTTTCACTAGTACCTCTGCCTGGAGTTCATTTTCCTAAGGGCCAAATGGTTCGCTTCCTTTAGTATTTGCTTAAATGTTTCCTCATGAGAAAGGCCTTCCCTGACAATCCTTTCTATCTCCTTTTCCTGTGAGTTTTCTTCAAAGCTCATCACTACCTGGTAAGTCATATATCTGTTGTCCACCTCCCTAATAGAAAGTAAGCCTCTTGAGAAAAGTGATGATGTGTCATTCACTCTTACACTTCCAGCTCCTAGAATAGTGCCTTGCACACAGAGAGACTGTCAGGAAATATTTGCTGAGTGGATTATTTGGGGTGACTTAAGGCACCATCTGCTTGTGGGATTTTAATGACACGGTAAACTGCATAACACTTTTTATTTTAACTTTTTATTGAAATATAACACACATGGAGAAAAGTATACAAATCACAAGTAAACAGCTTGGGGAATTTTCACAAAGTAAACGCTCTGTGAAACCAGCCTCCAGATCAAGAACATTCCAGAGCGCCTGCACCCCCGTAATGCATCCTAGTCATTATTATATAAATAAGGAGTCTGATGGTGTGTATGCCCTTATATCTAGCATAAAAGTTAATCCATGTTGTTGCAGGTAGCAGTAGTTGGTTCATTCTCACTTATGTGGTCTTCTGTTGTATAAGTAAGCCATAATTTATCCATTGTACTTTTGATGCTGCATTTGATTTTTTTTAGTTGAAGCCTATCATGAATAGTACTGCTATGATTATTTTTAATATGTATATTAGAATCATTCTTTTCTTTAGTTAACAATATTATATACTCAAAGTTGTGCAGCGAGAGTTGCTAACATTTTTACATTGTGCCATGTGGCTTTTTTTGTTCTCTTCTGATTTAGTGTAAATTTAAAAATTATCTAACTTCTTTTTCTGTTGCTGTTTTTGTTTTTGAGTTGGAGTCTCACTCCATTGCCCAGGCTGGAGTGCAGTAGCACACTCACGGCCACCCCAGCATCAAACTGCTGGACTCCAGTGATCCTTCCACCTCAGCCTTGCAAGTAGCTGGAACTACAGGTGTGTGCTACCACACCCAGTTAATTTTTTTTTTTATTTATTGTAGAGATGAGGTCTTGCCAACTTGCACAGGCTGTTCTCGAACCCGTGGGCTCAGGCAATCCTCTCACCTCGGCCTCCCAAAATGCTGGGATTACAGGATTGAGCCACCACGCCCAGCCCCAATTATCTAACTTCTAATTTAAATTTTTGATAGATGGAAGTAAAGTGATTTAAAAATAGCAAACACTTTTTGAGCATTGATTCTTTGTCCTGAAACTGTTCAGAACTTTTTATTTATTACTCTACTTAATCCTCACAGCATTATCCTCATTTATCAGATGAAGAAGTAAAGCCCTGAAAGGTTAAGCAGTTTACCTAAGTCTGTGGGAGTAGAACATGCATTCTAACCCAGGTGCTCGCTCCAGAGCTTTCTGCCCTCACCTCTGTCCTTACACTGCCCTCTTATTTTTAAAAGTTAGCCATCTCTTACCTGCATTTAAAGCTTTTTTGAATAATCATTTTATTAACAGTCTGTGAAAAGAATTTTCATAAAGTGGGTTTTCCTTCCAAAATTTTTCAACCCACATTCCAGGTATACCAGCTGTTAACAACTTACCAGCCCTGCCTGATCTCCTTCTATGCATGTGTACACACACCAACACACAGTTTGCTTCTGCCAAACAATCTGAAAGTAGGCTAGCAGCATCAATCTGTGTCACCTCTAAGTACTTTAGCACACATCTTTCAAGAACAAGGACATTCTCCTTCACAACCACAGCACCATTACCAGACCTAAGAAAATCAGCGTTTAATGAAGTATTCAGTAGTATCATCAGACATATTCAGATTTCCCCCAGTTGCCCCCAAAATGTCCTTCAGTTTTAGATATATTCATGGTTCACATGTTGTGTTTGCCTGTAACATCTTTTTAGATGGTATCCTTCAGAGTAGAACTGGTCCTGTCTTCCTTTCTTTACAATATTGACTCCTTTGAGGAATCGAGGCCAGGTGTTGGCCATTCTGCATTCATTTGATTGTTCCTCATGATCAGATCCAAGTCAGAAATTTCTGGGAGGAATACCTCATAGGTGACCATTTGGTGGTTACTAGTAATGATACTTAATTAGAGAACTGGGAAATTTTCCTTTGTCAGTCAGAAAAGAATTTTTTTCAAATCTGGATTCCTCACAATTCATTTATTTCTTAATTGTAAAGCTGTATTAATTCATTGCTCTTTATCTTTCATCTTCAGTTTAAGGATAGTTAAATGGATCTGAAAATACTAATACTTTCAATATATGTAAGTTATATCTCATCACATACAGTTGATAAAATATAGAATGTTCTTATATTCTAAGATTAACTTTTAGATTTTCTTTTCATTCTTTCAATGTTATACAAAGTATAAAACAAAGCCATTCTGTGAAAAACTACTTTCCTGGGTAAAAGGCAGCAACTGTGCCAGAGTTATTGTCCTTTCAAGCAGTCATTCATACCAGCGTAATGATCTACAACTTCGTAGGTATGTTCTTGCCTCTGACAAGTTATTTTTCTTATGGTTTATACTATGATGATTTTTAAGGAGGGCTGTAAAAGAAAGTCAAGAGTGGGAGTACAGTTAGGTAGGTCCTTTTAGATCCTATGACATTAGTACAGTTGGGGCACAAGGAAGGCATTTGGTGTAAAAAAAAAAAGAGAGTTTTGGAAACGTGTGTTCAGTGTGTACTGTCATATGCTAATTAGAGAGGAGGAAGGGTACCCAAGGTTTATTGGTTGATAACTTATGGAAGATTAAATTGATGTTTCCAATTATTTCCATATATGCAACCATTTGTATTTGCAGAAATCCAGTTGCCTTAAAGTATAGCTTTCTGGCATGTCAGAGTGAATTCCTAAATACAAGATAGAGTATCCCAGAAACAGAAATAGGAATGATCATTATCACATAAAGTTGATAAAATATTATATAGAATACTCTTATACTTGGAGATCTTACTTTTAGACTATAACTTTTATCATTTATACACCTACAAAATAAAGCCAGGATGAAAAAATGTCAATGAGTCCAGAATTACCTTTCAAAAGTGGAGCTAATTTCCAGGACTCTTGCAATAGACATCACAGGCCTCGTAGCAAAAAAGGAGCATAGCTGTGGGGAATAGGTTTATTTCATAATGACCTTGCCTTCCTTTAAATTTTCCTATCTCTTTGTACTGCCTCTTAAGTATATAAATAGCAATATTGCTGCTTACATAAGTCTGCTGAAACTTATGTTTGCCTTGTGCAGCAGAATATATGGAGACCAAAATAATTTTAGCTAAAAGATCTGATATTTGTCTTAGTGTCCATATTTGTGAGTTTTCAAAAATTTAATTATATGATTGTTTCTAGTACTCCCTTCCGGTACCTACTTACACCTTCCATGCAAATAAATGTTCAAAATAAAATGAAGAGCCTTAATTGGGAAGAAATGGAAAAAAGCCCATGCATTCCTGAAATAAATGATTCTGAGTTTTGTGTTCGTATTCCAGGAGGAGGTATCACAAAAGCACTCTATGATGAAAGGTGAGTTCTGCTTGCCTGTTCGTTTATTTCCCGCTTTATTTTAAAGTGAAATTAAAACAATCAGGATAGTGTATTAGATTACTTTCTGGAACTTTGAAAATGTATTTATAAAAGAGGCAATATATTAGAAATCTGGCATTTGGGAAAGATTTAAATTTGGTTATGGAAGAATTGTTCATAAAAAACCATATCTAATGTTATATTATGTGTGATATCTTAGGGATCCTAATACTTATTCTATACAGTCTCTGCAGCAACACCTTTTAAAAATTTTGGTAAGAAATACATAATGTAAAATTTATCATTTTAATTAATTTTAAGTGTACAATCAAGTAGCATTAAGTACATTCACAGTGTGTGTATCCATCACTTCTAGCTATTTCTATTTGTCTTCATCCTAGATAGAAAATCTGTACCTGTAAATACTAACTCCCCGTTTTATTTCTATAAAATTGATGATCATGTTCCCACTTTCATTTATGATTTTAGTAATTTGAGTTTTCTCTTTTTTTTCTTAGTTAAAGATTTATAAATTTTGTTGATATTTTTCGAAGAACCAAATTTTTCTATATTTTATTTATTCATTTATTTATTTTTGGGACAGGGTTTTTCTCTGTCACCCAGGCTGGAGTGTAGTGGCACAATCATGGTTCACCACAGGTCAAGCAATCCTCCTTCCTTGGCCTGCAGGTGCACACTAACACACTTGGCTAATTTTTCTTTTCTTTTTTTTTTTTTGTAGACAGGGTCTCACTTTGTTGCCCAGGCTGGTCTCAAACTCCTGGCCTCAGGCCATCATCCCACCTCAGCCTCTCAAAGTGCTGGGACTACAGGTGTGAGCCATCATGCCCACAAAGAACCAACTTTTGATTTCACTGATTTTCTCTGTTTTTTTGTATTCTCTGCTCCAATCTTTATTTTCTTCCTTCTGCTGGCTTTGACTTTTGTTTACTCTTTTTGTTCTCTTTCCTAATATGTAAACTTAGATTTGAAAAGTTTCTGATTTTTTAGCATGTGCATTTACAGCTGCAAATTTCCCTCTAACCAGTGATTTCACTGCAGGCTGTAAGTTTTGACATGTTGTGTTTTCATTTTCATTCATCTCTAAGTATTTTCTAATCTCCCCCAAGTGATTTCTTCCTTGATTCATTGGTCGTTTGAGAATATGCTGTGATTTTTTTTTAATGTTGTAAATTTTTAAGTTTTTCTTTTCGCTTTCAACCTATGTGTGTGCCTTTAGAGCTAAAGTGAATCTTCGAGGCAGCATATGATTAGATCTTTTTTCCTTCCATTCTGCCAATCTTTGCCTTTTGGTTGGAAAATTTAATACATTTACATCAGAAGTAATTACTGACAAGGAAGACCTTCTGCCCTTTTGCTGTTTGTTTTCTTTTGGTCTTACAATTTTTTTTTGTACTTCATTTTCTCCATTACTACCTTTTCTGTTTAGTTGATGTTTTGTAGTGACACATTTTTGTTCTTTTCTCATTTTTTATTGTATGTATTCTATAGATACCATCTTTGTGGTTACCTTGTGGTTATATATAACATCCCAAAGTCATATCAACCTAATTTGAATTGATACTAACTTAGCTTTAACTGATTACAAAAACTCAACTCATATATAGCACTGTCCTCCCACCCATTGTCACAGATTACATCTTTAAGTGCTTAACAACATAGGTTTATAGTTATTTTTATGCATTTGTCTTTACATCTTCTGTCTTCTGCCATCACTCTTGATTAGTCTTTAGTAATCATGAACATTAAGAAAGCAAATGAGCCGGACTTGGTGGCTCAGCTTGTAATCCCGTGCCTTTGGGAGGCTGAGGTGAGTGGATTGCCTGAGCCCGCAGGTTCGAGACCCGCCTGGGCAGCGAGACCTCATCTCTACAATAAATCAAAAAATCAGCCGGGCATGGTAGCGCATGCTTGTAATTCCGGCTACTCGGAAGGCTGAGGCAGAAGGATCACCAGAGGCCCAGCAGACGAGGCTGCGATGGCTGAGAGCGGCCACCGCACTCCAGTCTGGGTGACCAAGTGAGACTCCAACTCAAAAAAAAAAAAAAGAAAAGAAAGAAAATGAAAGTTAAGGCAGACAGAGATACTTTCTTTTAGCCCTTCTTTTTGTAAATGATTTTATATGTCTATACCCAACCTGCCATCGTATTTGTGGAACAACATTCCTGTTTTACCTGCCTTCTTCCTTGCCTCCTGTTTCATAAAACTCAAGGCTAGGCCAGAAGCAGACCACTAGGCCTTGATGTATGCTTTAACTTCCTCTGCCTCTTCCTTGCTGGGATCAACTTGCCTTGCCTGGTAAGTTCATGGAAGGCAGTGGAAGGGCAGCTGTTCAGATAGTGGCCTCTGCTGCTTCTCAAGCTCTTATATTCTACTCTGCATTCTCCCATGAAGAGAGATGAATGAGGGGCAGTGGGCTTAACAAGTTGGGGAGAGCTAACCTTAGAAAAATATTTTTCTAGACCATTGCTGAGTCAGTTGATAAATATGCCTTCTAATTACCATAACACATTTAGGAGTATAAATCCAGCATTGTTTGGCTTGCTCTGAAATCTACATAGTGACTTCTGCATGACCCGAGGAAGTCATAGTATTAACGGTAGTATGAGTAGGAGTGATGGCGGCCGCAGCTGTCTATGTAACTGACACTGTTCTTGTGCCTTACATGTATTGTCATTTAATTCTTGTTTAACCACTTAGATATGCACTGTTGTTAACTACATGTTATAAATAAGAGAATTGAAGGAGCAGCAAGATTAACCCTTTGCGCTTGGAGACCTCTCATGGATCACCTACCAGCAACTTGACCACACTTATTTATGAAATAGTGAAAACCGAATCACTTCATATTAGTCAGCATTGGAACCACTTATTTTATTGTGGTGATACTTGGCTTATAATGAAATTTTGGCTATTGAGGAGCTTATTTATGACAAAAAAATCAAAATTTTATATCTTATATTTTTCTAACATGTAGTAACGTGTGGAAACAGTCACCGGCATGCGTTACAAGTTCGTTGTTTTTCTATGCAAACAGACAATGCATTGCAAGTTCATTATTTTTCTATTCAAACAGACAATGCAGTCTCGTTTTCTTCCTCCCACTTTTTTTTTTTGAGTTGAAGTCTCACTCTATCACCCAGACTGCAGTGCAGTGACCGCTCCCAGTCACCGCAGCCTCGACCTGCTGGGCTCTGGCGATCCTTCCGCCTCAACCTTCCAAGTAGCTGGAATTACAGGCGTGCACTACCACGCCCGGCTAATTTTTGATTTATTGTGAAGATGAGGTCTCGCCAAGTTGCCCAGGCGGATCTCGAACCTGCGGGCTCAGGCAATTCACTCACCTCAGCCTCCCAAAGCACGGGATTACAGGCTGAGCCACTGAGCCTGGCTCTTTCTCCCACTTTAATCATGTGTAATTTATTGTCCAGTCTGTACACCACTGTGAAAGCACTTTACACACTCTCTTTCTATGCAATGCCAGCTGATTTTTTAAACATATATCTCAGTATATATTCCATCTCTTTATTTGCTTTCTCGTGCAGTTTGAATGGAATACTTCAAGGAAACATACATTTTTGAAAAATGTGTACTGGCATAAGTTAGTCCTGTATAATCACCAACAATCTTTTTATGTCCCCTGAGAGGGGACATCCAAACGGTTTGCTAGATTTACGATGACCCCTCAGAGGGGACATCTGAGTGCAGAAGGTTAAATAATTTGTTAAAAGCCATATAGGAGGCTAGGCGGGGGCACTTGAGACTGAGGTCAGGGGATCTCTTGAGTCTAGCAGTTTAAGACCAGTCTGGGCAGCATAGCAAGACCTCATCTCTTTAAAAAAAAAAAACAAAAAAACTATACTGGTAGTAAGTGGCAGAGCCAGTCCTGCACTATAACCACTTTGCTGTGGGGTCTGTTATTCGTGGTATAGGAATACAGTGAACTTTATTCTTTGTCTAAGAGTTGAACCTCTTCTTTGTTATTTATATTTACACCCTTAGTTTCTTTTTTGAAAATTTAAGGCTTCACTGTCAGAAATGATATAGTCATTTTAAGTTGTTTTCCTGATACAATTTGTTTTGTCCATCTCTGGCCATGCTTGCATATTATGCAACTTTATCTTTTTCCCTGAGAATCTACTCTGTTCTTAAAAGCATCACTTCCTTCAGCTTTTCATTTTTTCCTAATCCATCACCCACTCTTTTCCTTTCTTGCTTATTTCCCATAATAAAATCTATCATTTCAAATGTTCTCTTACAGGCCTAGACTCTGTCTTCCTAATTGTTCTCAGTACCTGCTCTACAAACCATCAGCTTTGAATCACTCTCTTGCTTCATTGAGGCTACTTTATTCTTGGCCTACACTGCTGTAGTACCTCTGGGTGACGTGACAAGAAAAACCATAGGCCAGGTTGCTCAAACAACAGAAACTTATTTTCTCATTGCCAGCTCCGAATGCTGGAAGCCACAGTTAGAGTGCCAGCATCATCAAGTTTTGGTAAGTGCCCTCTGGGCTTGCACAAGGCTGTCTTCTTGGAATGTGCTCACATAGCAGAGAGAGAGCATTCCTCTTCCCTCCTCCCTCCCTCCCTTTCTCTCCCCCCCCCCCATAAAGACATAATCTTTTTTTTTTGAGTTGGAGTCTCACTCTGTCGCCCAGACTGGAGTGCAGTGGCCGCTCCCGGCCACTGCAGCCTCGACTTGCTGGGCTCTGGTGATTCTTCCGCCTCAGCCTTCTAAGTAGCCGGAATTACAGGCATGTATTACCACACCAGGCTGAGTTTTTGATTTATTGTAGAGATGAGGTCTTGCTGCCCAGGCGGGTCTCGAACTAGTGGGTTCACACAATCCACTCACCTCAGCCTCCCAAAGTCGCAGGATTACAGGCTGAGCCACCGTGCCCGGCTCAATGTGGTTTTGATTTGCATTTCTCTGATAATTAGTGAGGCTGAGCACTTTTTCATGTGTCTGTTGGCTGC